CAGGAGTATAAAGTGTGTGAAAATGGCGGATTGAGACAAGGGAGATGGAAGAAACTAAGCAGGACTAAGTTTGTTAGCCAATGAAACTGACTGCTTGCTCAGTCATGAAAAAAAGCAAAGGGCATGTTTTGCTTTGCTGGGAAATGCACCATATTTGACTTGTTTCCAGATTATTAGCAACAAGGTAAACTTATTTTTATACTTTGAGACAGGGAGGGAGTTAAAGTGCATGAACAATACGGTAATGAAAAAGGCCATCTAAAGACATTCATAAGTCAAGCTTGCTTTAGCAGAGCGAGACGCTAAAAATGCAGGCGTTTTTGGTTTTCGTGTGTCTTCCCCAAACGGTTGGCCATGGTCCCAGGCATTCCTGGAAACTGGGGATAAGAATAGTGATGACTTTCATTGTATGCAAATGAGTCTCCTGATGAGTATGCGGTTTATTTGCAGCGATGATTGAAATGACATGCCATGCTCTATTTTTCCCAAATGTGCGGGTAAACTGTAACCTTCGGAGATGAAGGGACTGTGTTCTATACCTGGTATCTCCCATTCTTTGACTTATAAAGTGTTGTTATGACAAGGAGGAATTTGATACTGATTGTTCTCAGGGATATTTTAATATGTTCCATTATTTTAGCTTGCATTCGTGAGGATTGGCCAGTTCTGGGACTAATGTAATTTCTGTCCATGATTAAGGTCATTCCGTTGAATTGCATCGCACATCTCTACTGCGCATAATATTGCAACACTAGAAACACAATCTTTCAAGATGGCTACCGTCGGTGTTGGCACCAAGTCAAGAGATAAAAAAAGGTTTTTTTGTAAGTTCAAAAGAAAAGGAAAGACGAGACAAGTTAAAAAATATTTGGAAAAGGAAGTGTTGGTGTAGTGAAATTACCATATTACCATAATAAAGCTGAAATGTTTTGAATTTACGCAAACTTGTGACATTTTAATTGAATGTTTACACAGTAAACACAACAGATTTGTGTTCGCATTTTCCCACATAGTGACTTTCAATGTTTAATACTACAAATGATTAAATAATATTCATTATGAGTAGAACTCAATCAACACATAAAGCAATTACGAATGGACAGAAATAGCAAAGAAATGAATCTGGCCAAACTCAATGCGAGAATTTTTGTAGAAGTTTTAACTCTGCCTGAGGCCGCCGAACCAACCTTCTGTGCTACAGTGCACATGCAACTTAGCAGTCAATACACAACGTGACTGCCTTAAAGAGCGATTTTGTCTTGCAAGCACGTGTTTTTTATGAACATTCAGTCCGTTGTCACCTGTCGCGATGTTTCATCACATAAGTTTTCTACAGATAACGCATGGCAAGCATATTGGCAAAGAAAAAAAACGCATTGAAAAAACAAGGTACACTGAGTGACACAAACTATTAAATAATTTAAATTTTTTCTTTGGAAAATAATTGTCCTCATAGCACACGACGTTAAACGTTTAAGCTTTGGATGATAGGTACCCATCATTGCCCTTTTCTTCGTACAGACTATTCATTGCCAGTAAGCTCACATGCTCCCAAAGGACTACTTTTTCACCCTTGCAATGATGTAATTTCTCTTGATTTTCTTTTATTTATACATGTACACAACTCAATCATCGTTGAATACGATATAAAAAGTAAATATCTTGAAGAATACTCGACCGTCGATAAAGAAGGAAGTGAAAAACTTTTTGCAACTTAATCCTGTTTTGTGCAGAATAAATCACCTCCTCACTTCTTCTCTATCTCCAAGAAAGTGAGACTTTAGAGTGCTCTTGTTCTTTATAAATAATTCAAAACCAATTCCTATTTACACAATAAAGCCAGCCTCATTTTTGGAATTTTAGATCGCTTACCTTCACAACAATCTATCTCCTTCTCCAACTGCACAACTTGTGCTTCTGCATCGTTAGCTCGATTTTCAGCCTAAAGGTAAAGACAGCACATCAGTGCGAATTTTGGGGATTTACACCAAACAAATTCCAGATGGGCAGAGGACATTTCCCAGCATCTAAACATTAAATCCCAGCTCCATTAAAGAATAAACAGAACACTAATGACAACACAAAGATGAAATACCCTCTTAATGCTTTATGTTTTTGACACTCACTTGAAGAACAAGAAAAAGCCCTGCCTCAAGAAGAAATAACTTGAGAAGATTGTGAAGTGGTACGTTCACTGGAGATCAGACCCAGGAGCAAGCCATTTTTTCCCTTTTCTTTATTTTTGCCAAGTGCACATGTGTGTACTGGCAACAAAAGGAATAGTGTCACTCAGCAATGAACTCATGTCTCCCCAAAGATGGGAAGCAGTGCTTCATTCTCCAGCATACCTTTACAATGTACCTTTTATTTCATGTTTGCTACAACTGGTTGCACTTGGGTTACAACAAACACGTTACTGTACAAAAGTGAACTAAAATAACCTTCCCAAATACCCACAGGAGTCAGCATAAGCAAACAAAAGGAGGATTGCACAAAAAGG